GTTAGACTGTTTTTTATGACCACCTATAGAATGAAAATATTTTTTAATTATTTATTTGAATGGCTATCAAAATTTATTAGCTATAAAGGTAATGATTCGATTTTTTATAGTTTTATTTTAGGGGTGAAGAATTATTGCTCTTGGTTTAAAGCTATTTTAGGTAATTCTAAGTTTAATAGTTGTATGGGGGGTATATATTATACCCTCTTATTCTTAAAAGAGACATAAATTCTTAGCACCTATAGATGAAATATTATCTTAATAAAATTATATGTTTATTAGTAGCATTTATAACTAAAGTAGAGGAGAAATTCCTAAAGCTATTATATAGATTTATTAATGTTTTATTGGGTAATATTTCTAATTCTTATAATAAACAGATTAAAAAGAATAATTTTGATGTTGGTAAGGTTTCTGAAAATGAAAATGAAAATGAAAATGAAAATGAAAATGATAAGGATAAGGATAAGGATAATGATAAGGAAAATGATAAGGAAAATGATAAGGAAAATGAAAATGAAAATGAAAATGAAAATGAAACTGAAACTGAAACTGATAATGAAACTGATAATCAAAATGATTATTATAAAGGATTAATTAAAGATTTGAATAATTTAAGGATTAATGATATTGATATTGATATTAACCAGTTGAAATATATTAATAATGATAATTTTATTAACGAGTTTAATAGTTGTAATAATATTTTATCTGATATTAAAAATAAACTGGGAAAAGATAAGATTAATTCTAAAACTTTTAATGATTTAGTTAATAAGAAAATTAAAACCCTTGAAAAGGAGAAAACTAATGAATTAGCTCATATTAATCGTGGTTATTTAAATTATAATAAATTTAGTTGTGATTTAGGTTTCATTATGGATATTATTAAGGTAGATATTATAATGAATAGAATTAAAAATAATCTAATTTGTAAATTAGAAGATAATAAGGTTTATTCATTATTATTAAATGTTAATTATATTAAAGATGGACAGGTCACTGGTATATCTCCTATTAAATCTATTATTATTAATAAGAATTCTTCTATTAAGTTTATGGCTCAAAATATGATAATTGGATTAAATAAAATTATTAATGAGTATAATATTGATGGTAGCGATTGTTTTGTAAGAGCTTATTGGAGAGAATGGATTACTGATGATAATTATAGTCAATTAGTTAAACCTCTTGATAGAGATGCTATTATTAACGATGTTCTAAAGGAACAAGCTGAAAAGAATTTAGATGTTCAAAGCAAATACGATCAAGTTATGAAGTTCATGAATGTTAAACATCTTGATAATTATGTGTATGATTTCCCTACATTTGATAGTATTACTAAGTTAGAAAAATATAATTTGATGAAAATAACTAATTTCTCTAGAAAATTACTCGAAAATACTAAAATTAAATTTACTGCATATGAAGATCAAAATATGACTTATGAATATGATTTTAATGGTAATGTTTCGAAATATATTAATGATAAATTATATTACGTATTTGAGATTATTCCAGGTAAAAAGAGAGTAGTTTGTGTTGGTGATACTAAAATATGGGAAAATAGTTTACATTTATGGAATAGTACTAAATATCCTTATGTGAAATGGACAGATGAAAAAATTAATAATAATGAATTTATTAGATATATTAACGATTATAAGTTTCATATAAATAATGGAAAGGTCAAGTATTGGGAAAGATTATATAATTTCCAAGATATGTTACTGGGTGAAAAAAATTATACACCTGATACCAAAATTGGTAGTTTAGATTTAGAGACATTTGGAAGTAATGTAGCTGGATTAGGAGAATTATCTGTTTATGCAGGTGGATGTGCATTAAATACTGGTTATAATAAAAAATACTATTTAGATTCAGATAATGGAATAAAGTCAGGTGAAGAACTTATACAGAAAATGTTTAAAGAATTATTTGATCATATAGAAGAAAATAAAAAACTAAGAAATAGTTACACATTATATGCTCATAATTTAGGTAGATTTGATTCTGTGTTTATATTAAAAAGTTTAGCTACTGCTGGTTATAAACTAAATGGTAAATGGAGAGAGAATGATCTTATTTCATTAAAAATTACTGATATACACAGAAAATTAAATGTGAAATTATTAGATAGTTTAAAACTACTACCTGAATCTTTAGATAAATTACTTATTACTTACGGATGTACTATTAATAAAGGAATGTTCCCACACAAATTTATTAATAAAAATAATTTAAATTATATAGGACCTAAACCAGATATCAAATATTATGTTGATGACCATAAAATAACTGATTTGAAAGCTATTAATTATAATAATTTACCTAATGTTTTAAATGTTAAAGAACAATGTTTAGAATATTTAGACAAAGATATTATGGGATTATTAGAAATAATGAACAAAGTTAGTTCAAGATATTACAAAGAATATAAAATTAATATTACTAAATATCCTACATTACCTGGATTATCATTAGCTATTTATGGATACTGGTTTAAAGATAATAAACATAGTATTAAAATGATTAAAGGACCATTAGAAAAATTTATTAGACAAGCTTACTTCGGTGGTAATAGTAATATTTTTAATCAAGATAATAATTTATTTGTTAACGAGGGATATCACTATGATATGAATTCTCAATACCCTAATGCTATGAAATGTGCTATGCCTACGGGTAACCCTGTCTTTAGTAATAATACGGATTTAAATTATTATAATTTAGGTTTTGTATTTGCTAAGATTACTCCACCAAGTAAAGATATTTTATCTAATTTATTTATTCAACACAGAAATGAAGATGGATCAGTATCTTGTCCAAGAGAAACCTTTTATGAATTTATTTCAACAGTAGATTTAAAACAAGGTATAGAATATGGATACAAAGCTCAGGTTGTATGTGGAGTTAATTTCCCTCAAGCATGTGAACCAGGTGAGTTATTTGGTAATTTTGTAGATACTTTATATGAAATTAAAGCAAGTACAACTGATCCTATTTTAAAACAAGTAGCTAAATTAAGTCTTAATTCTACTTATGGTAAATTTGGACAGAAAGAACAAGAATATAATATCAAATTAGTATCGAAAGATGAAGTAAAAAACATTATTTCTAAATACCATTATACATATCTGGCTGAGATATCTGAAGATCAATTTATTATCAAAAGTGGTCCTAGAGTTAATGAAAAATTAAGAAGAATGTATGCGGATTATGCTAAATTAAATAAGAATGAAAGTTTAGATATGAAATTAACTAAAATTATAGGGATACCAACAGCGGTACAAATTTCAGCAATGATTTCTAGTTATGCTAGAGCTTCTATAAACCCACTAAAAAATATTCCAGGTAATTTAGCAATAGCAAGTAATACAGATAGTTTAATTTTAAGAAAACCACTTCCACAAGAATTAATTGGTAAAGAACTAGGAAAATGGAAATTAGAACATAAATTTAAAAATGGAGTGTTTGTAAGACCTAAGTTATATTGTTATCATGATTTTGATACTAATCTATTTATTAAAAAAGCTAGTGGAGTTGATGCTGGTAAATTAACATATAATGACTATGTACAATTAGGTAAAGGTGTTGATATTTTAACTAATAAAAATGTTTTTAAATTAAATTGGGATAAACTAAAAATAGAAATTATGAATGTTGAAACTAAATTAAATGGGATAAATAAGTTTAAATAATTAAATAGTTAGAAATAATTATCCAATGAAATATTTTGACTTTAACAATCCTTTAATAAAGCTGTTAATATTTTTATTTTTATCTATATAACCTACTGGTAGTTCAGGTATTTTAATAATTTCTTTAGTTTCTCTAACCATTACATATTTTTAATATTTTTAATATTGTGTAATATATTACCCTCAGTCTCTTCTGTATTAAAACATTTATTATCCTCAATAAGCACTCTATTCTCCATCTTCATGATTTCTAAAATTAAATAAATAATCTCTTTATGAATTCCCACCCTATCTAATATAACAAACATATTATAAACTATTTTCTTCATCAATTTCTTAGTTAAAAGCTCTTTAGTAAAAACAAAATAAATAAATAAATTATAAAATTCTCTATCAAATTTGTTAAGTTTCCCACTTTCAATAAAATTTCTATTAAGAATATATTTAGAAATATTTTTAAAATCAATATTAAATTTTCCTTTACCTAAATCCTCCTTATCAAAATTATCATAATTAAAATTAACAATATGCTTACTCTTCAAATTAAATGAATCATCTCTCAATAACTTATCTAAATCCTTATTATTATTAAAGTTATCCTTAGAAAAATTATTAAAATTATAACTATCTTTATGGTTAAATCTCCTAAATATAATTGCATTACACCTAAATTTCCCCTCTAAATAAGGCATATCTCCTCTGCCAAAGTTATTAATAACACTAAGAACTCTAAATTTATAAAAATAATATATCATC